CGGGCTGGGTTTCCCTCGTCCCCCCCAGCTGGGGGGTTCCCGCCCCTCCCGGGCACGCCTGACCCCCAGCCCCGCTGCCGGCAGCAGCTGCGCTGCTTTCGCTGTGCCCCTGCGGTCGCTTAGAGCAGCGTAGCCGAAGTAAATCGTGTTATGACCGCTTTTCCCTTAGTCATGTTGTTTGCAACGTATATACTAGTCCGACCCGCTGTAGAGATTGCCGGTGGGCTTTTTTTGTTTTTCTTTGGTAAACAAATACTTTATGTCTTCCCTGTGTAGGCCAGTACAATGGTGGCGGTTGGCCTGACCATAGCGGCAGCTGGATTTGCAGGTTTGTAGGTGATGGGAGAACGCTGAACAGTTGTACTTGCCATTGCCTGTCTCAGTACTGATGGATTTTAAGGTAGTTTAATAGCTGATACAGGACACTTTTGGGAGAGCCTGTATTGAGAAACATGGCTGTAATTAAACAAAAGATAAAAGTTCTTACTTTGTTATGTCCCCAAAATGTTTATTCCACTTTCTAATCCACAAGTTACCAGTTGCACTGAACTGCTAAATCTTCGTGAAACTTTATACTTGGTCTTGTTCAACACTGATTTCTTTTAAGGTCGCTATGCACTAAAAGCTGTGAAGCAAATGGAGCCACAAGTAAAACAAGCACTTCAGAATCTACCAAAACCTGTAAGTTTTTATTAGTAGCATTTTTTAATTTAAAAGTTTACTTGGTAAAATAAATACAGGCTGTTGTCTCTGTATAAGCATTGCTGTATTTTCTTCTAATACTAAGCATAATTTTGTCAGTAATGACAATCTCGGTGATTCTGGTGGTGGTTGACTAATAGAGAACTTGTTTTGGCAAGTTTAAGTACTCATTTAAATAGTCATACTCTACTTCAACTGAATTTATTACAAGCGCAAAAGAAGCTTTGCAGTATTCTTACAGACTAAAAGCTCAGCAGCTGCTAAAGCAATAGTTGTTTTAACTGATAAAAATTAGTGTTTTTTTAAACTAACACGTTTTCTCTTTCAGGCCTTCAGCGGTTATTACAGAGGTGGATTTGAACCCAAAATGACTAAACGAGAAGCAGCTTTAATACTAGGAGTGAGGTAAAAGGAAATTTATTAGAAATGAAAGGTAAAAAGGAGGCTACGGTGTTGCCTAGTTGCTGGCCTGGTTTGTAAAGGACATAATTCTCGGTGCTTAAGACTGTCCTATGCCCAGCTTCCCCTGGGAATGTCACTGCCAAGTCAGGAAGCATGAAGCAACCTTTCAGGATTTTCTGTACTTATTTGGAATTCTTTGCTGCATGTTAGCTTGCTTAAAGCTAACTCTAGCTGGACTTTCATACGTCTGCAAATCCCTAGCACATTCGAAAGCCACGTACAGGTCCAGGTAAATATACCATTTTCAAGAAGCTTTGGGGTTTACTTGGTATGGGGAACACGGTTGTGCCATTTGCTTGTGGTTCCTGTCACTGCTGGTGAATTTCAGATAGATGTAGTGTGAAGGTGCTGCAAACCCAATTCTTGGATGTAGAGTAAATTCATCACTTCTAGAAAATGTTAGATACGAGTATGGTAACTGTCCCTGCCAAAACTTAAAGACACTTAAGACCAAATACACAGATTTATCTAGTAAGATACAGAATAGGAACCATTTCTGTTTGAAGGCAACTTCCAACTGTGAATTTTGTATACAGACAGGTGGTTGTTTGTTTTTTGTTTTGTTTTGTTTTTTAAATAAATCGAGAGCAAATTTTATTTTTTTCCTCCAGACTTTAGGAAGTTGTCCCGGTAAAAATGTTACAACATAGTTCTGTTTTCAATCATGTGAATGTCCCCCACCACGTTAGGCTGCTATAGCTTGTCTTCTTCAGCATACAGTATTTTGGAAAAACCTTAGAAACCCTCTCCAGGACTTACATGCTACATATCAGTAATAGGAAAAGAAAAACATACATGTAAGCCAAAGAGCTTATGGATAAGACAGAATGCTTGCTTGTTCTAAGAGGTCTTTTAAAGATCTGGGGCATTTTATGAGGTTCCCTTAAGTCAGATTTTCTCTCTCTTTTAAAGCCCTACAGCCAACAGAAGTAAAATTCGAGAAGCCCATAGACGGATCATGCTTCTGAATCATCCAGATAAAGGTAAGTAAATTAAGTCACATTGATTAATAAATACATGTTTTTAACACAGATTAATAGAACTGTGTAGGGAAGAAGTGACTGACATATGACTACCTCAGCTACTAAAAAAACCCCCAGAAAACTCTGAGTGAAAAGAAATTTTAGGGTGCCTTAAGCCTTATGGTTTTGGAGCATATTTTTGTGCTTGAATGCTCTAACGCAAGCAAATTCAGCAGGTCAGCTTGTTACTTGCTCTATCTTCTGTGCATATCAGATTAAAATATGATTTGTTAAAATGAGACTTAAAATCACCTTAATTTTAGATGAAAGACCAGAGTATATTTGCATGCTTTATGTACCATGTGAGTTGGAGTTCATTTGAATGCATCGGGAGTTCACCGTAAGCGGCAGGTGTTGCGCCTTCTGCGTCTGCTGAAGACACTAAACTGTGAAATATTTCTGCTCGTGGTACTCTGAAGGCTCAGAATCTAGTTATGCTCAAAGTTAATAACTTGAGGCATCTATACCTGTTCTAAATACTGTTTACTTCAGTGAGTCAGAATCATGTTAGTGTTTGGCATTTAACTTTTTAATCCTCACTTAAAAGGTAAAATTACTTCCTTTAAAGTGACTGTTGAACTTCATTACTTTACTTCTATGCACCAAAATCCAAAATAATCCTTGGGATACGCCTTTCATAGATAATATCTAGCGGAAGTTAACTTCAAAATGAACTTTATTGAATATATGCAGAACCTAAAAGACTGCTAGGAACATTTCACGTGTTTTACACGACCTAAATAAGTTAAATTAAGCTTCAAGTAAATACAGTAATTCTAGTACTAGTAAATGGTATACATGCTACAAATACAGGCTACAGGTCTTTGCGCCTCATGGTCAGTTACAATTTTGGTGCATTTGCATTGTGGATTCTGTTTCAGTATCTTTGTGAGTCATTTGTATGTCATGGTTAAAAACTGCACTAGTCCACTGGTACAGCAGCACTTCATATGCGGGCCTGGAACTAGAGGGGAAGGTTTACCTGCAGACTTCTTAGTTTAACATTTCTGTATTCACAACAAACTTTATGCTAAGTCATTAGTGACCAACGTATTTACGACTGATAAAACCGGAGAAGAAAACCCGCTCCAATAAACTAAAAGCAACCTAACAGGAATGAGCTGGCTGCACGTTTAGCTCTTGCAGTGACTGTATGTGTAAACTTATGCGGCTTCAGTCATAATGCAGTTTGTTCTTTAACTTGAGTAACTTTCAGACCATACTCTCACTTTCCCCCCGCCTCGTACTGTGGCATTATTAACAACACAGAAAGAAGGTATTTTTTTCATCTGATGTGACATGAGGTTATCTTTCTTCTAGGTGGCTCTCCGTATGTAGCAGCCAAAATCAATGAAGCTAAAGATTTGCTGGAAGACCAAGCTAAAAAATGAATGAGAGAGAAAATCAGAGGGTTTGTCCCTGCAAATGATTATTTTTGATAAATGGCGTAAGAAAAGTTCTAATGTCAGTCTTTGACTTAATATAAATGAAGCTGGAAATATGAATCCAGGGAGGTCACTCCCTCCCCACTCATTTCTTAGTCACTTTTTGGGGAAACGTGCAAGGGAGAGAGGCTTAAAGTTTTTTTCGTAGCTGTGCTTTAATAAGCAAAATCTGCCACTCTGAAATATTTTCAGAGTAAGAGTACTAACTTGGTTTGGCCAATGCATGTTACCAGATACAGGTAGACCTGCATGCTGTTACCTAATTTTTGTTAAACTAGCTATGTTTAAAGTTCATGCTGCTGTTCTTTCATGTGCCAAAGTTAGCATGATAAACCGGTTTGGGGAAGGGGTGGAAAAAATCAAGAGGCTTTATTTGACGGGAAGAATTGGGACAGCTGTGTGGTTGTCTGACTGAAGAAATAAAGTATAGGAAACACCCGTGGTTGTCTTTGCCTTGTGAAAAACAAGGTTGGTTGAGCTTCTTAAGTGTTACTGATGGGTCTGGAACATCCCAGATTTTTTTAGTAACTTTCAGTTTTTAATGGATTTTATATAGCCTTTAATAAATTTGAAATTCGTAATGTAAGTACTGTAGTTTTATACATTATCTTACACTACAAAGTTAGAGGTTTGCATCAATAGTAATTAGGAAACAGGAACTCTGTACATAAGCCATTGAAGATACCCGAGCTGGATTCATCATGCTGCAGGAAGCCTGGCATGCCCCAGCAGATGTCTTTGTAAGTATCCGAATTAGGGCCAAAGAGTTGTGTCATACTCCAAGAATCTTGCCAGTCTTTCTGCAACTATGGTAAAACTGCTGCACAGCACGTGTAATAGTTAACACTCATCTGTTCATAACTACAACGGATATCAGAGCTTTCATTTTTCCAGAACTAACACGCCTCTACTTCAGAGTAGTGCAAGTAGTCTTACACCCCCGGCGCGAACGCTGGCCGCTATGTAGCTGCATTTCTGTGGACGAGTTATAGGCCACTTAGTATTACCAGAGGAACAGTAAGGAAGAGTTCCATGCCTTCAGAAGAGAGGATCAAATCAGTAACACGAGTATGAAATGGAAAACGTTTAGAACCTGTACAGAGGGAGGGATAACTCTGCTTTACTACCGATTTTAAAGTGGGGTGAAAAAACCAGCTGGAACATTGCCATGCAGCAGTTCCAGAGTATGTGTATTTCAAGCTGTACTTTAAGTTTTTCTCTGCCAAATAATACTGAGTTTTTAAACACAGCTTTTTTTTTCTTCTGTTTTTTAAATTTTCTCCACTCTTGTGGCTGCCTTATCAGTTGAGATGCTTGTGCACACTTCAGAGTTACAACAATTTAACTGTTTGGTCTCCAGGAGGGAACATTGTCAATGGGTGTCAACACTTAACCCGTATTAAAAACTGCACATCGCCTTAAATGAAATACGTACCCAAACCTGGTTGGTACAACTCTCCTGTAGCTGTATCGGGTATAGCAGCTGGAGTCACGGGTGGTTCAGAGTACTTGGTTTTGTCCTTACTCACTTCTGACGAAATCAGGTAAGACAGAATTTTTTTCTTTCAAGTCAGCACAACTTCAGCCCTACCCCTTTGCTCCGACATCTTACAACATCTCCTTGCTACCCAGATGATGTTCCACACCTGTGGTTTCTGCTTCATTGCTCTTGCTCATGTGCCTGAAAAGGTGGGTTAGTGTGTCATGCTTCCTACTTCTCAATTAAAAACTACATCTGCATTAATTCCTATATATGTTAGTCAGGTTAGGTGATTCTCCAAGATAAGAAGTCTGTTTTTAGACTTGTTAACTGATGTTTTACATCATCGCCTTAAAGAATGGAAGATTGGCATGTTAGAAAACTCTTAGGAAAGAGTTAAAGGTTCAAGCTGCCTTGCAAGTAAGTTTCAATTGTTAGTGTTAACAGCTTGAAACACTTAAAATCAATAGTCATTTAAATTTCTGATAGAAACAGTCAACAGATGGAAGATCAAAGTTTATTTTCTTTTACTACCAGCATACAAAAAAAAACATATTGCACATCAAACAACCAAAACAAAAATAAAAATACTCTACTAAGGACTAACATATGTAGTTTATACAGAATAAACTTTCTGGAAATTGATCTTTTCAGTAGTTCAGGTTATGTCTTAATGGACATGACTAATTCAGCTTAGTGTTAACTAAAGCTATGTTTGATTTTTAAATACTGTACAGTTTAATAAATAAACCAAACAAAGCCTCAATGTAGAACAGTCACTGCCAATGTCACCCAGTATCCCTGCAGATTATGAGAATTTAACAAATGTATTCCAGTGGTCTGCAGATTTTTCCTCTACATACAGCATTTAAAAAACATGTATTAAAACAGACCAGTTTCCAGACTAAACTAATGGAGAAATTACATTTCAGTGCAAAATATTTTAGACTGCATTTCTTTCTAGTATTCCTCAGGTGAAGAAGTGGTTGCATATTATTAAAAATGTAACAAAAGCAGCTAATGCTTTCATAAAGAGTATTATGTTAGGGATCCCCCTCACATCTTTGCCATATTTTGAAAACAAAATAACATTTCCTATAGCCAGCAATTTTGTTTATTTAAATGTTACATATACTATCTCAAGGCACATCTGATGATATATTTATAACACAGTAGGTGTCAAAGTATGTTTAACATATGATTTCTTCAGGATCCCTCCCCTTTCCGTATTCCAAAATGGAGGAACTGAAAGTGCGGTGTCAAGACTGGCGATCCATATTCTATCTTTGGCAAGCTTATACAAGCACTATTTTAAATGTAATGTAAAAGAACTGTAAACTAGGAACTTCAGTTTATGAAACACCATTCAGCACTGCTTCTTCCTGATTATTTCCATCCTCCTGAACAGTAACTTTCTTTTCATCAGGACTGTGCTGTAGTTTAGAAGGCTCATCCCCAGAAGCTGTAGCAGGACCATTCACTGCCTTTTCGGAAGGGCTGTTCTCATCAATCGCATCTTTTGCCTTGCAGAAACAAAAACAGGGCAATGTTACAAATTCCGTAAAAACATACAGAGCGTAATCTACATTTCCCTCCGGCTCACACAGCAGCTTTGCAATAGGAAACACCTCTTGTCTGTCTGTGCCAGTATCCTATCGCTTACAGCATCCTACTGCTTGCCTTGGCATTTATGGGACACTTCTGAGGAAGTCGTGCCACGGTAACCCTGAGACAGCATACCCACAATGGTTTATTTCACAGTTTCAATTTTTCTAAGCCAAGGAAGAAGTTAACTGAAAAGTTGAGTTTTACACCCCTTTCAAAGTCTATAGTAAGATTAGATTTTGTTCATCGGATAGCAACGGATTGTTCTTATTTTGCTAAACTCAGACATAACTTGTGGCAATAAGTTCAATGTTACTTTAGAAGTAAAGGAATTCTGCTTTATTCAGTTCTGAATATTATTTTTCACGATACGTAATGCCACTCACTGATCCTTTAAGGAGAGCAGATCTCAAATCTACAACCTTTGTAATGTTAATTCTTTCTAAAATAGTTTGTACAAGTCACTAAACATGCTACCTAGCATCCTCTATTTATAAAGTGTTTTAAGGATTAGTTCAAGACTCACCCATGGATAATTTTCACATTTTATTATGTAATGCTACATTACTAAGTGTAGTATTTTAAAATGCGTAAAGACTTCATTTGAGCATTACACGTGGCCACTGAAGTCTGCAATGATAGTCTGCGAATCAATGTCAGTTCTGTTTACTCTGGACCATTTTTGCTTTTAATGATTTATTCTTAAAGTCAAATGCATTTGCAGTCAAATGAGGGCAATCTAAATGAAGCATTCCTTTACTGTTTTGCTGCAAGGGAAGAGAAAAATAACCCCATATGTTAAAAAAAAAAAGTCGTCTTACCGTTTCTTTCTTGGTTTTGGCTAGCGTCTCCTTTGGAGGGTTTCTCTGTCTACTTTGAGATTCAGCTCGTGATATATAATCAGCTACTGTTACTGTTCAAGGAAAAAAATTACAGTGATGCTCACATCAGAAGTCTGATTTAGCATTAAGCTTCATATGTCTTTTCTGTACAAGTTACACTATAACTGGGAGACATCTCACAAAAGGCCTTCACACTTACAGGTATCGACTACATAGCAAGGATCAATTTGTTTCTGTTGTTAAAGACAATTTTCACTAAAATCAGTGGTAACAGGATGATCTGAAGGTGGAATCGTAACATTAATAAAATATAATTTTGGTCCAATTGGAAATTTTATTGGAAAATAAGGGCTTTCTGTACTGGGTTTGAAGAGATCAGACTGCAGCATCTTTATACTATAGGCTGTGTTTGTCATTGGGGTTTTACTATCTTGAGTAGTGAAGAATTTCACACTAATGAAACAAAGGTAAGTTAAAATATGAAAAGAATTGGGGGAGGTTCAGAGTGTGGTATCACTTACGACAAAGCAGCATTCAAATCTTTGTTACTTCATGAAGCAACTGGCTAGAGAACTCGCCCTCCTCCTGGTATTCAAAATGCAATCCACACAGTTAACTCTGGCTTGTGGGCGGGTGGATTAATTGCGGTGTGTGTACAGACACTTGAAGCGGCTCTGTATGAGCGAGCCTGTACTCAAAAGCAGGACAGCCATGTTTGCACTGTTACGGCCGCACTTACTGGACACCGGCCAGGGGTTTTCTGACCTCTTTTCTTCTTGCCACCTCAGCACATGTTCTTGTAGCCTGGTTTTGTCTTATCCCGCCCTCTTGTACCCACACCAATTGAGAGTCAACTCTATCTTTAGAATACATAGTACTACAAATTTAAAAATACACTTGTATCTTTGATGAACTAAAGCACATTAGAGTCGGCAAGCATTATCTGTGGAACAGTACAGTCAATTGTATTTAGTATATCATGCATTCAGGTGAACTATTTTTCTGGATTTAGGAACGATTGTGCATGAACCCTACATCAGAATAGGAAGTACAGCACATGAATTTTCTGTTACAGTAACTGGACTTCTTACAACTGGGTCCTAGCATAATTGCCACCATCAAGTGAGCTTCTGCTCAAGGAGAATTATTTCTTTAAAATGAGGCTCTGTACCCAACTCCTCTAATGTAAAGATGAAGCATGTTTTATGCACACAGTGTAAGACACTAATTCTTAATATTCATTTATGTAGTAGCAACCCAAAACATATAGCAACGTAAATCAAGTAATACAACTAAATGACTGAAGTACATTGTTAGCGGGGTGGGGGTTTTTCCTTCTGTCTTAATTTCACTCACTGTACACTTACTAAGTATTTATAAAGAGATTAAATTATTAGAGCATTTTTCACGAAGACAGTGTAACTAACTACCAATGCTCTTACTGTTGTATTTAAAAATATTTATTATGCAAACTGAAAACGGTATCTTGAACTAAGACATCAACAGGAAAATACTGAGAAATCTTGTTTGGGCAATTTTTGTTTTGTTCTTAGAATATTTAGATTTAAAAGAAAAATATCATAGGGTTTGTAGAGATGACCAACACCTCTATGTTTTACTTATAACTAAAAGCTGAAATCCATCTTTCCTTTTTCTGCC